AAAAGAGAGTGGATTCAGGAGGAAAGATTCTAGAGCTCTTCTAATGTAACCTGATTGACTGGATACCCAGAGAGCACTCAGCCAGATAAAAGAAGCTGGAAAGTAAGGCAGCAGAATCCTTTTACCAGGAGGAACAGCACAGGTGAGTTTCAAAGGTTTGGAAAGCTGCATTTATTTGGGACCAAAACACACACACACACACATTCTCTTAACTGAAGAAGTTGGCACTGTATTACATACCACTTCAGTGAGGTTAACATTTTAACTCACAGTTACAGGGAGGGATAAAACTGAAGGGTCGCTAGTCCATTTAAGCCTGTGTACCTCCTGATATTGTTGGACTCCAGCTCCCATCAGCCCCAGCCAGCAAGGCCAGTGGTGAGGGATGATGGGATTTATAGTCCAACAAATATCAGGAGGGTGGTAAATTCCTCACCCCTGCTCTAGATGCTTGGATAAAAGTACATGGGACTTATAACATCGAGCGCACAATGAACCGAATGAGCAAAATAACTCCCACATGAAGCTTTAGATTTGCCTTTAAAGAAACTTATTCAGGGTACTTGTGTGAATGTGTGCAAATCTGAATTTGAACTTTAACAGAGTTATCTTAAATACAATGTAACTACACACTGCATTTATAATCCAACAAAGAAGACTGAAGTTGAAATACGTTTAGCTGAAATATGTTTAGTGGATTGTCTTTCCATTTTGTGTGGCTCCATTACAACTTGTAAAACTGCCTGTTTACAATATTCTCCAGAGAATGGCTTGCTTTAAATTTTAGCTCTAGAATAGAGTCCTGATGTATTTATTTATTTTTTTAATTTTTGAGTCACACATTTTCTGTTTCCTTGGAAAACACTTTAATCTTTTATGACATTTTTGATAGTGAAACCATTTAGTTTTTTACTATGAGCTTCATAATTGTGCTGCTACTAAACACACACACACATACACACACACTTCCATCTGTTTTCTCTCCCCAAGATGTGACTTAAAAATTATCACAATAAAGTGATAATGGTGCATTGGGTGAACTTTCCTGGGCTCAGCTACAAGCCGTTACAGCAGCACTATGCAAATACAACTCCTAATAATATCAATACTAGAATGTTAACACTCAACTTAAAAGTACAAAAAGCCCTTTTATGAAAGAAGAATTTCAGAGCAGCAACATTTCTATGAAGCTTCAATGAAAACTGAAGAACATTCAGATGCATAAAACTCAGATGTTTGTAGTCTTTGATAGTTCTCTGACATATGGCCAGAGAGAAGCAGATGGACGGGTCACAGCAGTGGGAAGCCAAAGGGAGCGTTTGCATTGTTATATGACCCAGTGGGCCAACACTAACAGACTCTCCCCAGTGACCCGGCTATTGTTATCCCAGGGATCTGATAAGAATCTGATACTTGCATTTATTTGCCCTCAGGTAATTTTCACATGTGATGCCTGATTAAAATGACCTTTATTTTGCAGCTTTGTTTATCCACAGGCTGGAACATCTGAATCATAGGGCAGCCCATGAACAAACTCTGTTTGCCTTGATGACGATGATGATGATGATTTAAAAAAACCCTACTTGGATGATTCCTTTCTGTGTTGGTCCTAAAGTTAAAAAAGAATAACAAGCACTTGGCAAGAGTAGCTTGATCCAGTCTAGAACCTGACAGGGCCGGCCTAAGACATTCTGCTGCCTGAGAAGGACAAGATGCTGTTCCTCTACCCCTGTGGACAGGCACTGACTTGACTGGCAGTTTTGAGTCTGACTTCTGTACAGGGACAGTATCCTCCACTGCACTTACAGATGCAGGGCAGGCCAAGTAGCATACACAGCTCTGTCCCCAACATCTTGCCACTACTCCCATGCCCCTGCTTCAGCACTGGCTGCCTGTGGCATCCACCTCATTCTGCCAAGTGGTAAGGCTGTCCCTTGAACTGGGCCGTAGCTCAGTGGCAGGACATCTGCTTTGCATGCTGAAGGTTCCAAGTTCAATCCCTGGCATTTCCAGGTGGGACTGAGAATTGTTCCCTGTCTGAAACCCCAGAGAGCTGCTGCCAAACAGTGTGGACATTATTCAGCTAGATGGACCAGTGGTCTGACTCAGTATAAGGCAGCTGCCTATATTTCTATGAGAACTGGATATCTTAAGAATGGCAGAAACCATGTTGATCCTTCTGGAAAGAAACAGGCACATTATCTGCCCTGTTTCTTTTGGCATCCTGACTGAAATGCTGTTAATTCTGGAATCCTGACTCTTAATTGCTTCTTACCCTGTTGTTACTAAGCGCTGTTAAGTAAATGTATTTGGTGCCCCCTCTGTTTAACATTCTGCCCAACAAAGGAATCACACTGATGGAATAACTGCTGCTTGCACAACGGAACTTCTAGTGTCCACACAATGTACCCTTACACTCCCCCAGAACTGCTCCAGACCTTGTGGGGTGTAATCCAGAGCAGATTTGGGAAGCACTAGGGGAATAGGGGAGGAATAGTCCCACTGCAGGAATGAAGGCCTTCTACAAGCACTATGCCCTTGTTGAATACAACCCAGAATTCCCAACTTACTATGCAGAGGGTAAATAACTTTGAGACTTGTGTGTCTTTCAAATCATTGAAAATTTAGTCTAAAATCATTATTATTTTATTTTCTCTTCTCTTACTCCAAAGGAATAAAAAGCAACAGCTGAACCAAAATACCATCACAGCATTACTGTTTTGTTAAAGGGTATGACTATATATACTCTGTTTGAGCTGAAACTCAAGGAGCTCTCTGTTATTCAGCTACAAAGGTACTAGTACCAGACACAAAAAGGAGAAAAGTATAGTTTTCTTTTCCACAAATCACAGATATCCGAATAAGAGAATATGAAAAGAGAACATTTGAGAACCACCTCTGATGAAATAAAACTGACAGTGAAACGTGTCAATTTACAAAGAACTTCCTATCCACCTTACAGAGAATGATTAAGAAGAATCCAATGGAGCCTTGCTGGAATTCTGCTTACAGTCTACTTTTACTTTTTATTTATACTTTTTACAGTCTACTTTTTATTTATACAGTGCTGTGCACCATTTGCCCTAGATATCAGAATGCCCCTGTAAAATAGTTTTCTTGAGCCTAGGTGGGGTTCAGAGGGTGAGCCCTGAACAGGAAGCACATGGCAGGGTAATTGGTAGCAGAATCAGAGTAAGGTTTTACAGGCTCAAGGACAGATTCAGCGTGACACTGGCACTGCTCCAATAAGAAAGGTGGACAACTCAGTACTTCTATTCTGGTGCAGCCCTGATGGCTACCCATTGTCTTGGAGATGGCTACCCATTAAAGCCTTGCACTTCTACACCATTATGGGGTCTCCATGTGCCTACTCTGATGTTTCAGGTAGGCATCAAAGGACCTCGGGCAACTAATGCCCTTCCTTAGACAAGAAGTGAAGTGGGATCACTTCACTTTATACCAAGTTGTTTAGTCAAAAAAGCGACCTGTCCAGTCTATCCTGACTGGCATTAGCCCTTCACGTTCTCAAGCACAGGTCCTTGCAAACCCTGGTACCTGAGACCCTATAAGCTGTGGTGTGTAGGAAGCCACCTATACCAGGGGCTGGGAACCTTTGTCAGGCAGAGGGTCAAATTCCCTTGTGGGCAAGCCTCTGGAGGCCACATGCAGGGCCAGGCAGAAGTTAAATGCATGTGATTCTTACCTTTGTACAGTCAGGTGCATTCAAGCCACACAACTATCACCTGTATTTAGACTCTCACCCAACCATATATCTTCATCCTCCACCCAGGCGAGCAACATGCATTGCCACAGTTTACAGGAACATTTCAGCCAGGAAAAAGCACCCCAAGACAGCGCATAGCAGTGATGGCGAGGGGTGTGGTCTCAGGAAAGGGTGTGGCCGGGGAATAGTCTCGAGTGCTAGACAAAGACATTTGGAGAGCAGCTTTTGACCCTGCAGGGACGCAGGTGGCGCTGTGGGTAAAAGCCTCAGCGCCTAGGGCTTGCCGATCGAAAGGTCGGCGGTTCGAATCCCCGCGGTGGGGTGCGCTCCCGTTGTTCGGTCCCAGCGCCTGCCAACCTAGCAGTTCGAAAGCACCCCCGGGTGCAAGTAGATAAATAGGGACCACTTAGTAGCGGGAAGGTAAACGGCGTTTCCGTGTGCGGCTCTGGCTCGCCAGAGCAGCGATGTCATGCTGGCCACGTGACCCGGAAGTGTCTCCGGACAGCGCTGGCCCCCGGCCTCTTGAGTGAGATGGGTGCACAACCCTAGAGTCTGTTAAGACTGGCCCGTACGGGCAGGGGTACCTTTACCTTTACCTTTTGACTCTGCAGACCTGAGGTTCCTCATTCTTGACAAGGTGTATTTGTCTCGCCCACAACCCTAGAGACAAGCATATTACTACCCCTTACAAGTGAGAGAATGACTATCCAGGGTAAGCAGAAGAAAGAGCCTGGTGTGACTCGTGCATTTGCAAAGTTTTCATTCTTTACATTTTCACCACCAGAAAGTGGTCCAACTTTTGCCGCTGTTGTGTCTCTCCACTGCTAAAGCTAATAAGGCAAAACCTCAGTATCCCAATTAGTATTAGAAAAAGTGGATTTTACACCACTGGAACTATGGCAATTAAGCGAGAGTATCAAAAGCAGCAATCAAAATGGCTACTCATTTTGCTGTGGCATGCCCCATCTTGATGTCACACTGTACATTTCATTAAAAACTAAATGAACAGCCCTGATTGGTGCTTGTTGGAATGTATCAATTTCTGGATTAAGGCTGGCCCATTGTTTTGTTCTAGTTATTCATATATAGATGAATGGGGCATGGACAAGGCTAATCCAGTATAAACAGCCTGTAACAGTGAAGGGATACTCTGTCCTAGAGAGCCATCTAAGTCTTTTAATTACTTCGGCAACTGATAGATCAGCCCTTGCCCCCTTGAATTCCTTTGTCATGAGAGAGTTAAAATTCATGAGCGTCTATCTTTCTGAATACTTACTCCACTGCCGCTATGTTCTACGCCAAGCAAGCCATCACGTCAAAGAGTCGGAGGTCTGTCAGACCATCTGTTACATAATAGTCACCGATTTCTGAAATCTGGGGATGGAGAGAGCAAAGATTATGAAAGGTTTTTTTTAAAGGGGGGGGGGGAGAAAAAGAGAACAGATTGCCATCTCCCTTGCAAAGGAAAGGTGGAGGGTAGTAATAAATAATAAGCTCAAGTCAAAGCAGGGATTGGCTTTTATTAGATAGCAAAACAAAATTTCAAAAAAGAAAACAGCAGAAAACAAAATAGGATTGATGGCAAACAGCCACATTGCAATGAGGTTTCAGCAATATTCAGGCGAACGCTAGCCCAAGGCAGTTCAAGACTTCAGGTATAATACATGCATAATAACACAATAGCACCCCAATGGGTAACAACAACAACAATTTTGGCATGATTTAATGTTAGGACCGTCTCTGAAGTCATTCTAAAAATAGTAGAGAACTTGGCACTATTGCAATGTGTGGTCTGCACTAACTAGCAGTATCTCTGCAGGGTTTCAGTAAAGATTCTTTCCTAGCCATATCTGGATGCTAGGGATTGAAATTGCCACACTTTGAATAGAGATGATAGATGATAGATAGAGATAGATGATAGATAGATGATAGATAGATAGATGATAGATAGATAGAGATGATAGATAGATAGATAGATAGATAGATAGATAGATGATAGATAGATAGATAGATAGATAGATAGATAGATAGATAGATAGATGATAGATAGATAGACAGACAGACTCTTCCTCTCGCCATCTCTCCTGAATCTGCAGCTCTCCCCCAGTCTGGGGAACTGGTCACCAGGCATCCCCTTTGCACTGCCAGACTATCTGAACAATCATCTGCCACCCAAATTCCTGGTGGCCTGACAGACTAACTGCATGTCCTCCATCCAATCACCCATCTACCCACAGGTATTTGCCAGCCTTTTGACCTAAGTAACTGACACCAAGAAGTCCTGGAATCTAATGTGATCTGACTGATGAAAAAGTCAGGGAAATGAATGAAGAGCCCCAAGGCTACACAGTCCCAGTGCACCCCTACACTAGTTGATCCTTGACTGTTGCAATCCGCCTCCTGATGGGGATTTGGAAGAAGAACGTCAGAGATCCAGCCTATGGATCATCAGCTTAATGAACAATTCCAGTTTAGAAATCTAAGTAAAAAGTGTGCATGCTACGTGAATAACTACATTCTCAAAGCTGGAAAAGTCCATTCTAGGAGTTTGTGTTGCAAACGTGGAGCCCCAGGCAACAGACAAGTCTCCGTCTCAAACGTAGCTTGGTGTAAAATACATACTTTCCATGCAGATGGTCACAAGCATCATTCCCCAGCATCTCCAGGTAGGGCTGTGGGAAAGACTTCTGTTTGCAACCCCAGAGAGCCTTTGCCAGTCATTGTAGTGACAATACAGAGCTAAATGAACCGATGGTCTATCTCATTGCTACTGGTATTATGCAGAGAATCTGACTGGGATGTTACATGCATGTTTGAGGCCCAGACTCCATTTATATTGTTGTATTGATGGTTGCTATTATTTTTGTTGTTTATGGTGGTGGTGCATTAACTGTATCTTAAACGTGTTATTGTCAACGGCTTCCTTGTTTGGTGGAAACCACTTAGGGGTCTTATATCACAAAAGGCACTTTTAAAAAATATTAAATCAATCAATCAATGTGAACAAGCATGCACAAGATGGGGCTGGCATTTAGTGAGAGGAGTAGCCCAACACCTGTCACTCAGAGTCTCCCTGCCAATTATCGTTATGCAGGATAAGCTAGTCACCATAACCAAGGCTCTTAAAATGCACTTGAGGCAAAACAACTTGAAAACAATATTTACTCTTGAACAGTGCCTTTAAACCTCCCTGCAAAATGTGCTCTTCCTTACCAAAAACCTTTTTGCTTTCCTACCCCAACATGGAAACTTTCAATGCCATTACTGGTTGGGCCTATCCAGGGATCATAAATGCCCTCGGTTGTGAGTTCAAGGGTTTTTTATGACATTAAACTTGGACTCTGCTTAGTCAGGTCTCTTTGTCTTTCAGAAACACAATGCTAGATAATGTCCACACAAATCGCCCTTTTTTTTAAGCATTTGCAAAGAAAGAAAGAAAGCCCCAAACAAGCAAGTCTTCTTTATCATACTCATTGGACAACACTTTTGCTCATAGTGGAGGTAGCTGCACGATAAGTTCTTTAAAGACATCTTTCTTCTGTTTCTGCCTCTTTTGTCTTTTCAAGCCCTGTTTAGTTTGATCAAAGAACAATCACACAGGCAGCAGGGAGGAAAGAGGGAATAGGAATGTTTACTGAAGGCACACGCACAGTCAACACAAATTGCTCAGAGCTTTTTTGTGGTTTAAGGTGGTTGGATTTTTTTGTTTGTTGTTGTTTTCATAAAGCCGTGGGCATCAGAAAAGAGCAAATATGGCATTACGGAAATCATGAAAGGCTGCCCTCTTCCTTCCCATTATCTGTGCTATGAAAGAACATTCATTAAAGAAGTGCACTGCAGCCTTTTTTAGGTTTATTAATTGATCGCACACAATCATGCTGACAGATGGAGAAGATGAACTTTATACACTGAATAAAAGTAAACAGTGAACACACCGGCATCAATGAAGTGAATTGTCATCATGGAATATGAGTTGCTATAATGAGGTTTATTAGGGTGTTTTTGCTTTGCAACACTGAAATGAAGCTATTTCATGTGAGCTTGAAAGTCACCCCAAAGAGGAAATTAATCCCCCCTAAAAAGTTTGTGCGCATTTGCATAAAATTTGCACATGCTAATATGCATGCATCAATGCAAATTTACAAATAATGTATTGTTTCCAACTAAGTAATGATCAGATTAGTAGATGCACAGAAAACGGACCTATGTAAATAAATGCCCACTACTTTTAGCGGGTCTGCCCTCAACAGGACTAACATTAGATATAACCTGACTACAGTGGTACCTCGGGTTACAGACGCTTCAGGTTACAGACTCCGCTAACCCAGAAATAGTACCTCGGGTTAAGAACTTTGCTTCAGGCTGAGAACAGAAATCTTGTAGCAGTGGTGCGGCGGCAGCGGGAGGCCCCATTAGCTAAAGTGGTGCTTCAGGTTAAGAACTGTTTCAGGTTAAGAACTGACCTCCGGAACGAATTAAGTTCTTAATCCGAGGTACCACTGTACTAGAATTTAACAGAAATACAGTGCATCTCATCATACCAGGAAAGACTGACCAGATTGCCTATGTGTCTACAGAGGGCTTGTCCACACTTCTGCTTGCCCCACTCCTTTCCCCTTGGAAACACAACTCTATACTGCTGAATCGGAACAAACATCAATCGATTTTTTCCCTGCAGATTGATGTTTGTTTTGATTCAGCAGTAAACAGCAGGTTTTCCCAGGAAAAGCGGCAGGACAAATGAAAAAACAAACAAACACTCAGACCCATGCCTAGAAAGTCTAGGAGAATTTGCTTGTGAAGACTAAACACCCCCCCCCCCCATCATTATATATCTAAAAAGCACTATCACTGTGCGTGACACTTTACATAGTACAAGAAGACAGGCCCCTGCCCCAAGAAGCTTACAGTATAATACCTGACACAGATGAGATTTCAGAGGCAGGGTGTAAGCATGGAAATAATGTATTATTCATCTTAGATCTAGCCCAAACAGACATGCGATTCTCACAACCAGCTCTGGCACTGCAGCTGCCGCTCACGCCGACTTCAAACCCCTGTTCCATCAGTGGCAATGTTTATGCCATGGCCCATGGTGCATGCAGATCCCTATGTGTACTGAGTAATAGCACAGCTATTCAAAAAGTAGAGGGAAGGGTCACTGGTGCCCTAAAGCTCAGTTTGCTGCCAGCCATCACATGACCATCCTCATTCAAAGCTGTGACAGAACACCATAAAACATGGGCCCTTATTCTCGAGTTACAGAGAATAAAAGAACCCGAGTTACAGAGAATAAAATGGACAGCATGGCCTTGTGTTGGCCTGTATGATAACCTGAGTGCGAGGCAGAGAAGCAGATCAATGTCATTGCACATACCAGTGCCAACGCTGTTCCAACTACAAGTGTGACCTTTTCTCCCATTTACGTCAAATAATGAACTGAGTTCTGCTTATCCGGTAAGCTGTATTATTTGGGATTCTTTCCCCATCTTTTTTCACAAGCTTGGTTGCAACTCCACTGACATATATAAAGTACTATTTGTGTTGCCCCAGAAAACCTTCAGTTAGGGAACAGAGGAATGAAAGAAAGCATAAAACCACCCTTGATTTCACTTAGGGTTCAATCTCTTTTCATACTTTAAGAAGACGTAACATTTCAAAGGGTAATGAAGAGGAAGTGACTGTGGAGTCAGGAAATCTGAATGGCCAGCAACTGTAAAAGATAAAGTGTTATTTGTGCTACTGTATTTGATCCACTGCTTTGCATTCTCAGCATGAAATATTAGGCAAGAGACTTGGATATAGTGGAAGGCAAGGTTGTCCTGGGTGTTGGATAGGAAGAGAAAATCAAGAGTGGCAAGATAACAGCACTGGGTTCATCCTCCAAAAAAGACATATTTAGGTAGAAAGTGTAATATCTCTTCCTAAGGGGAACTGTGGTTTGTGCATGATTAACTACTCACTTATGTACTGTATTTATTAGTAGTCTTCCAATCTGGTGCCGAGGCAATATAGACTAAAAAACCCAATAACAAAAACATACAAATCAGTTAAATATGCATTAAAAAACAAGAAAGCAACAATAGAACACTGCTAAAAATATATGAAGCTGCCTTACACGACATCAGTCCATCAGCTTTAATTTTAAAATCTTAATTTTAGCTCTTAAATGCACATTTCTATCGTTCATAACACGGTCATTCTAATCCCTTGTCTTATCTCCCTCTCCTTAAAAATGATCAGTTCTTATTTACTGCCATCTCAGCAACCTGAATAACGCCACATACAAGCTTCCGGAGTATTTGTATATTTCGCTGTTTGCAGTAACATTCTATTTGCAACCAATTAAGCAGACACAATGGAAGCTCCCTGGG